AGCAAATAAAATGTAAAATGAACTCTAGATTTACATTATAAAAGCAGTGATATGCAAACAGTGTCAAAAGCTTGGCACTCTCTCAGATAATGTCACTATGAAATAACATTCATCCGTGCAAAGCTCTAGTTCGTGATGAAATTATAAATACGAGACTGCACAGGCATAAATACATCTCACCACAAATCCTCCAACTGTCTGCAAAGACCGGTCTCTTTATCTGTAGGTAAGGGCAGCTGATGTACTGGGATATCATTCTTTCTGTCAATCTAACTGATAGTTTGTGGCTGAAGAGATGCTTTAACAACATCATGGCCAGCAAGTGATGGATAGGCCTGTTGTTTGGCACTGACACAGCATAGGGGAGGCAACACATACAGGGGAACCGTATGAAGAACTCAAGATCTTTAACTAAAGATCACAATTCTCTGAAACTTCACAGTAGAGGAAGTAATTAGATCAATTTCATATGTATCCTAATTACAGAAACACAATGAAGGAATTCAGTAGGGGACATGGCTGCATAGAAACTCAAGAACTTGAATAGTCAGCAACTCGCCGTTTCCTCTTTTGAACACTTGGTTCACTCCACCCACCTTTGTTCATAATTCACACAGTACATATTCAAAAGAACCATTATGCTGAGAGCCAAACAAAAACGGCTTACTGCTTAAAACAAAAACTTACACTCACACATCAGCGTCCTCTTAAAACTATTGAAATAATGAACCAAGTATGTACTGTAGTTCCACAATAATTAAAATGATTCATTGTGCTTTTAATCGTGTATTGAAGGTGTCAAAAAAGATATTTTTTTGGCCACTCAACTGTCATGGGAACAACTATACATTAACAAAAAAAGAAAAGAAAAGAAAGAATCTGATGCTTCAAAAAGTAGCATAAAAGCCTTGCTCCTGGTTAAATATTCATAGAAAGGATGACGGCAGAAGACAGAAATGTTGCCACTAGTTCTGGAGATTATATGTTTCAAAAGTCGTTATAAGACAATCAATTGGAGAGGACATTTTGATGGGTTTTTGCAATGGAAATGGGGAGGACAGTATTCAAGTGAGAGCAGCAAATGCAATCAATAGACTGAAGAGGCGTGAATGCCTCTCAAATAAGCCATGAGAAGATGTGCCCACAAGAGTCCTACCTGACACCTAATTCATCATTAAGGGTGCTGGAGTGGGTGCGTGGGTCTCCTGTGCTGGATTGTTCTAACAGGCATTAATAGTAACAGCGACACAGAGGACGCTCGTGGTGGTGGATGTAGGCTGATCAAATAAGATTACTGCTTCTGTAGGACAGGCTTTCTTGCAGGAAGAGCACCCAAGTTGTTTCCCAATGAAAATTAATAACATTTGTATTTATAAACAGAATGTTTTCCAACAATTGGCAGACATAACCTTGCATTTTCTTTGTCTAATCCTGTTCTTTGAAGACCCTTCTGCAAAGGTTACTGCCGACACACCTGCTCTGGTGCCTAGTATTGATTAGTTAGTTCAAGTGTCTTTAGTTAAGGTTGAAGCCAAACTCTTGCAGGAGTGTGACCCTCCACAAGAAGGATTGGACACCTCTGATATGGAACCACTGTAAGGTCAATGGCAAAACTCACCTTTAAGTCTCGAGCCACCTCCAGGTGATTGTCGTAGACCAGAACGTTGGCTGTCAGGTTCATCCTGTCTTTAGCGACAGTGGATTCTCCTTCTAATGCATCAGATGCAACTGCAACGTTCAATAAGGGATGTTGACACTTGGTCCCGTCCCACACCTGATCACATTGGGTAACCGTTAGTTGTACAAACTGGATTTGAGATTCAATGATTTTGAAGATTCAGATTCAAGTTAAAATAGCACCTTTAGTAGGATACAACGACTATCCATGACGGCCTTGGCCAGCAACTGGCAGGTCAAATCAAAGTACATCCCGGGCTTTACCGAGGACAGAGAGACTGTGAGGTCATTTGATATCCAAGACTGGTTGGCAGCCCATTGGCGAAGCTCCTGCACCGTACGTATATCGGATTCTCCAAAGTGAAATGATTTGCTGGAGGTATGAGGGACTACAGGACTGTCAATTGTTCCATCGAATGTGACTGTAGACCAACCATAAGTGTTCAAGAGTGACATGGAGTCCCTGAACATTTCAGTCTGGGAGGATATGGGAAGAGAAACAATTAGCCAATTAGAGCCTTAAAGTTAAAATGACTTGAAATTGGTGACGCTCCAGAAATCACCTTAATACATTTCGCCAAGACATTTATTTTAACATTAGAACTATATTTGACCAATGTGTTTGCAATGTTTAAAATTTAAGGTGTCTTCAAACTGACAGCTCTTTAGTCATTGTAGGTTGGCAAGTTGCTGTTTTGTTGCTCGCAAGCGTTGTTGCCTACTCAACTACAGTATCCAATCCCATCAGGAGGCGAATAGCATGACCACTATTTGTCAATGCAAATCAACATCTGCTCTTTTTTATGTTTTATATGAATAAGATGCTCAACATAGAACGTCAGGTTTTCCAGAGCCTCTTTCATGAACATCTTGGCGAGGTATGTGTGTTTTCTGGGAATGTTTCAGGTGGTACTCCTTGATTACTTTTAGTCAGGTGTGTCCATTTTTGCTCCTAGAGGGCCACATTCCTGCAATGTTTGGCTCCAGTTTGCTCCAACACAGCTGCCTGGAAGTTTCTACTGGTCAGGTGTGTTTAATTATGGCTAAACTTTGCAAGAAGGTGGCCAACCATAAACAGAATTGGACTTCACTGCTTAAAGGATTAGTTCACTCCACAATGAAAATGTCCTGATAATTTACTCACCTCCATGTCATCCAAGATGTTCATGTCTTTCTCTTTCAGTCGAAAAGAAATTAAGGTTTTTGAGGAAAATATTCCAGGATTTTTCTTCACGCATTATGCAGTCATATTGGAAAGGTCACGTGTGACGTAGGCAGATTCCTCAGCTGGGATCGTGTAGAGCCCTTTGAAGCTGCATTGAAACTACAATTTGGACCTTCAACCCCTTGGTTCCCGTGGAAGTCCACTATATGGAGAAAAATCCTGGAATGTTTTCCTTAGAAACCTTAATTTTTTTCGACTAAAGAAAGAAAGACATGAGCATCTTGGATGACATGGGGTTGAGTAAATTATCAGGAAATTTTAATTCTGGAGTGAACTAATCCTTTTACAGCAAATACGTGATTTGGGCCGACTTTCAATATTCCAAGGAACAAATAAACAGGCCAAATATCCTTACCTTAAATCTGTGAAGTCGGATAATGTCCCCCACTCGGAAGATGACTGGGTGATCCTCCAGTTTTTTAGAGAAGATGTTGCAGCCCACTTTAACATCCGACTGATCAGTGATCTTTAGTGTAGAGCAGTAATCTAGTGACAAATAATGAGGTACTGACTAAAAAAAAACTCTAGCATGAGTGATATGCTTGTGACTATGCAAAGTGACCGAATATAAACATGTCTTAATGTACTGCTTGTAAAGCTAAAAGACAGAAGTAGCCACACTTCAATCTTCAACAAAAGGATCAACCTTTTATAATCACTTACAGTGTTCTGAACCCATGAAACTAATGGAAACAACTTACCACAATTTGCATTTTTGTTTAATTTGATCATTTTGATATCATTTATATGAGTTCTTTCTGCTTTTGCCCAAGACATGTTTAGCCCTTCAAGACTGAGAATATCTACAGGTCAATATATATAGGAGTTGCAGCCTCACTGAGCATTGATCCAGGATCAATTGGTTACCTTTTGGACATGATGCACAATTCCCTCTACCGATTACACGGAACGGGGGTGTTTACATTCTGTCCACTTATCAAAACACTGATATTTCAATAAACCAATTGAGGGTGCCAGAGATCGATTTTTGGCACTTTATCTATCACACGTTACATGTCATGATCCAAGCAATGATCAATGAAGTAAAGTGTATTTACATGAAGAAAATTGCATGAAGTTGGTATGGTTATGCACCATGAGAGAGTGTTTTGGCAATAATTGGTTTATGTCAGCTTTTCTTCAGATGCATTCTAAGACTTTATGGTATAAATAATCTCATGCTAACACTGCAGAGAGCAAACTTCATTGTTCACGGTCAGTAGCACAAGCCAAGATCTCAGTTTTGTTTTGGTTGCCTCTGAAATGTTATTTGATCACTAAAGTGCAAAGTATCATTTACAAACTTGCCTCGAAGAAGTCTCTTTATGACATACTCTGAGAGAAAAGTTCAACTATTCTGATATCCATTAGAGTTTTTTTTCTTTGTTTTGACGTCTATTTCGAAAGTGGCCCTGAAAGTCATTTAGAAAGTCATCTTTTCTCTGGCCTCACTCTCCAGAGGGCTCAAATAACAATGGAAGACCCTATTACAGCCTTGCTGAGATGAAGGAAATTCACTGACCTGAACCTTTAGAGGGGAAAGGCTGTTTGAAGAAGGTCACCACACCATAGACGTTCACCACTGTCTTGGGCTTTAAATTGTTTAGGGGAACATAAGTGTATTTGGCCTTCAAAGAAATAGAGGAATATTGCCATTAAACAAATATTCTGGCTTTAACACAAGTTAAGCTTTAACGACAGCAATTGTGGCAAACAATACCTTATTGCAACATAATTTTCTGCAGACATTACTTAACAAATGCATGGCAGTGCATTGTGTTGAAGCGAAAACATTGTTTTAATGTCAAAAAATCCAATGCATGCATTAAAATGAACACTGAGCTAGTTTCCCTGATTTAATCTTCATTTAGTCTAGACTGCATGTGTCTGGAGGCATGCAGTGTTGAAGCACTTGATCTGGCTCAAACAAATTTAAAAGAAGTTTGCAAATTAAAAAGGATGTTGTACTCGAGTGAAGGAACAACCAATCACACAACCAGACAGAGAAAAGTCGACAAAAGCCAGTAGACAGAAGCCAATTTAGATAAAGAATCTCCTTGATCTCTGAGGGATAAACCGCATAAATGGTTTTACGACAAAGTGGGAGAGATTTGTCACTTAAAGAAATGCATACAGCACCTCTGAACTGGAAGGACCATGGGAGGGTTCGGCCGAGGGACATACCTATCAAACACATCCATATGGGAAAAAAATTAACAAAAATAAATATTAGAAAAAAAATATATTAGAGCAAGAAATATAGTTTTCAGCAAAAGTTCAAGAAGACAATGGTAAGGATTTTAAAATGCAAACAGATGCCACTCACATAGACACAATCATCTTTGCCATCCATCTCTAGCTGACAAGGATGTAGTTTGTCTCTGAGAAAAGATGGAGACTTTTTAATGGTGAAGTCTGCCAAAAGGACAACATCCTAAATAAAAAAAAACATAATTGTTGTAATGCATTTCATGATGTGTTATACCAAACATAATAAAAATGTTCAGTAAATAATTTAATTCATAAATGAAATTAATTAAAAATGGAAATATCTGATATATTTAATATGAGTAGGAAATTATATTTATATGCATTTTTTAATATATGCAGCTGGCTAAATTATTTATTTAATTAAAAATTTAAATTGAATATTGAAATATTTCACTAAAACACATTTTGTAAGAGCAGGCACTGATATTTTTACTTGCATTTTTTATATATGCAGATTGCCGTGTCATTTTTATTATTAAAAACTAGGGCTGCACGATAAATCGCATGCGATATTTAACGTGCATCTTGTCAGTAAAGCCGGTTCTGTAATCAGCGGTAAATCTCCATCACGTGCGGGCTTTCACATGGAGCAGCATTTACTACACAGAGCCATTGTTCACTGACGAGCTGCGCAAAACCACGATCATATTTTGCGCATGTTTTGCGCAACTTGTCAGTGAACAACGGCTCTGTGTAGTTAATGCTGCTCCATGTGAAAGCCCGCACGCGATGGAGATTTACTGCTCATTACAGAATGGCTTTACTGACAAGATGCACGTTAAATAACGCATGCGATTTATCGTGCAGCCCTATTAAAAACCCTTAATATTTATATATTTTGTGCGTGTATATTAAAAGCATGTCATTGTTAATAACCTGCTTCCTTCCACATTGAGACCGTTTTTATGGAAGCCCGTTTCCGCCACTGAATAAAAAAAAAAAAAAAGGTAATTGCGACTTTTTCTCACAATTCTGACTTTTTTTCTCGCAATTGCAAGTTTATATCTCGCAATTCTGACTTTTTTTCTCGCAATTGCAAGTTTATATCTCGCAATTCTGACTTTTTTTCTCAGAATTGCGTGATATAAACTCACAATTGCGAGTTATAAAGTCAGAATTGCGAGATATAAAGTCACAATTGCGAGAAAAACTTGCAATTCTGACTTTTTTTCTCGCAATTGCAAGTTTATATCTCGCAATTCTGACTTTTTTTCTC